GCCAGCTGTAACCCGGGCAGGCCTGGCCCTGCAGCAAGTGTGCGCCAGCTGTAACCCGGGCAGGCCTGTCCTCTGGCCCTTGCTGCCGGCACCAGCTCTTAACGCTGGGCGCACCAGGGCTCCCCATCACGCAGGACCTGCCCAGAATTTCCACAGCAGATGGTGTTCAGGAGCAGTGGTCAGGACGGCTGGCCGGGGCCTCACTGACGCTCCAGCTCCCATGCTCCCCTTAAAAGAAGACAGCTTTTGTTTGTTTTTAAAATTCTTATCTCGGAGGAAACTTTCTAAAAGTACCAATGTTCTTTTCAAAACATAGCTTACAGTTTTTCTTCTCTTTTTTTCTTTTTTGAGACAGGGTCTCGCTTTGTTGCCCAGGCTGGAGTGCAGTGGTGTGATCACAGCTCACTGCAGCCTCAACCTCCTGGGCTCAAGTGATCCTCGGGCCTCTGCCTCCCGAGTAGCTGGGAGTACAGACGCCTGTCACCACACCCTGATAATTTTTATTTTTATGTTTTTTGTGTGTGTGTGGAGATGGGGATCTTGCTATGTTTCCCAGGCTGGTCTTTACCTCCTGGGCTCAGGCGATCTGCCTGCCTCGGCCTCCCAAATTGCTGGGATTACAGGCATGAGCCTCCGTGCCCAGGCTTATTTTCTTACATATTTGTCCTAGAACAACTGAATGTGTAAAGTGGAAAAAAAAAGAAAAACCCACCCAGCCCAGATAACCATCTCTGACATTCTGGCACATTCCTTTTGACTCCGTGTTGCTCTGGACACTCATTTTCATGGACAACAAGCAGGCTTGCTGGGGTCCTGCCGGGTGCGGCTGCGGCACAGCCAGTGGGAGAACTGATGCAGCAGAGTGGCTGGCTGGCGGGAGAGGCCGTCCCAGGTGGGCTTCCAGGGGCAGTCAGGGCACAGCCTCTCCCGGGCCCTCGGACCTGCATGTCTCACTGCGCTGTCCGGGCTTCATGGTCACGGTCATGACGAGTGTCACCAGTGGCCAGTGTTCGGGCGCACTCCCTGCAGGTGACCTGTGTGTTTTCTTGCTGTGGGCGCAGTCTTGGCCCAGCAGGATGCATGAGCAGCCCCGGCACCCTCTGACTGTGTTCTTTCCAAACCCAGAGGCTGGCAGGGCAGAGATGCTGGACCATGCCGTCCTGCTTCAGGTGATCAAAGAACAGCAGGTGCAGCAAAAGCGCTTGCTGGACCAGCAGGAGAAGCTGCTGGCGGTGATCGAGGAGCAGCACAAGGAGATCCACCAGCAGAGGCAGGAGGATGAGGAGGACAAGCCCAGGCAGGGTAGGCTGGGCCGGCGGATGGAGTGGGGTGGGGCCAGGCAGGGGGTCTCCTGCCGTCATCATGCGGCTGGGTCTGAGCCTCGGTGGCCTCAAGTCCTGAGGGTGAGTGTGGGTTTGGTTCCCAGTGCCCGGTGTTGCTTGTTCTTTTGGGCCCCCACGGGCAGCCTGTGTTCAGTGCTGTGGCTCAGTTGATGGCCGACTTCATTTGCAGTGGAGGTGCATCCAGAGCCCGGGGCGGCGGTGCCCAGAGGCCAGGAGGCTCCCGAAGGCAAGGCCAGGGAGACGGTGGAGAATCTGCCCCCCCTGCCTTTGGACCATGTCCTCAAAGCTCCCGGGGGCCGCCCCGCTCCACCCCAGGACCTTAACCAGCATTCCCTGGAGCACCCTGAGGGGCCTACAGGCAGAGACCCTGCTGGCCCTCCTGATGGCGGCCCTGACACAGAGCCTCGGGCAGCCCAGGCCAAGCCGAGAGATGGCCAGAAGGATGCCGCCCCCGGGGCAGCTGGCACGGTGAAGGGGCTCCCCAAGGGCCCAGAGCAGGTGCCCGTGCCAGACCCCGCCAGGGAAGCCAGGGGTCCAGAGGAGCACCTTGCAGAGGAATTCCCCAGGCAAAGTCAGGACATTACTGGCGGTGGTTCCCAAGACAGGAAAAAACCTGGGAAGGAGGTGGCAGCCACTGGCACCGGCATTCTGAAGGAAGCCAACTGGCTTGTGGCAGAGCCAGGAGCAGAGACGGGAGACGCTCGCATGGAGCCCAAGCAGATGAGCCGAGACCTGGGCCTTGCAGCGGACCTGGACCTGCCCGGCAGGGCGGGAGGAGCGGCTGCACAGCCCCAGGCTGTGGTCCACCAGCCGGAACCGCGGGTCATCTCTGACGGCGAGCAGGACGGACAGCAGGGCCACCGGCGGGACCATGGCGGTCACCTGGAGATGAGAAAGGAGGCCCACGGCGGGGACCATGTGCCTGTGTCCCACGAGCAGCCGAGAGGCAGGGAGGACGCTGCTGTCCAGGAGCCCAGGCAGAGGCCAGAGCCAGAGCTGGGGCCCAAACGAGCTGTCCCGGGGGGCCAGAGGCCGGACAATGCCAAGCCTAACCGGGACCTGAAACTGCAGGCTGGCTCTGACCTCCGGAGGCGACGGCGGGACCTTAACCCTCATGCAGAGGGCGAGCTGGCCCCAAGGGACGGGGTCATCATTGGCCTTAACTCCCTGCCTGAAGTCCAGGTGAACAACCTCCGTGGAGCCTTGGACGCCCAGCTCCGCCAGGCTGCGGGGGGAGCTCTGCAGGTGGTCCACAGCCGGCAGCTTAGGCAGGCGCCCGGGGCTCTGGAGGAGTCCTAGCACCTGCTGGCCATGAGGGCCACGCCAGCCACTGTCTTCCCCGGCGAGCAGCTGGTCTTTCTCAGCCGCATCCCAGCCGAACTCTGGAGGTCACACTCATCTATCTCCAGGGTTTCACGTCTGAGGCCCTCACCAAGTGTGAGTGAGAGTATAAAAGAGTCACTGTGGCATTGTTTCCAGAATGTTCTTGCTGTCGTTCTGTTGCAGCTCTTAGTCTGAGGTCCTCTAACCTCTAGACTCTGAGCTCACTCCAGTCTGTGAGGAGACATGGCCTCCGCTGTGAGCCGGCCGGTGCACGCCCAGGCTCAGGCTGGGAGCCGCTGCGTCTGCGGTCAGGCCTCCTGCTTCTGCCAGGCAGCACGCGTGGTCTTCAGGTTGAGCTCGGCCGTGCGTGGAGGTGCACATGGCTGCTGATGGTCCCAGCACAGGCTACCGTGAGAGCCAGCGTCCAACCCCAAACTTGCAGCGACTCGGAATTATAACTGTTTACTGATGTTTCCCACAGTGTGGCAGGAAGTTTTGAATAAACACTTTTGCCTTCACCCAGCCTCAGTGGGTGCTGTTTGGTGTCCGGGAAGCGCAGGGAGCAGGGGCCGGACTCGCAAGTGGGGCATCCAGGGACACTCCTCTTGGTTGGCCCAGCCCTCCATGGTCTGTGTTTTGCAAAATCCAGTTGTGGCTTTTTTTTTAAAAGTAAAAAACACCACTGATACCTGATTAGTGAAGTTGGGGGAGTGACTGAAAGTCTGAGGCCAGCTCAGGATTCCACATGTATAAAGTAGAGGCCAGAGGTCACAAGGGAACAGTGCCATGACCTGAACATCTAGCATCGCAGTGACTGGACACGAGACGCAGCACAGCCCCAGAGAGACCCTGTGAGCAGGCAGAGACCCGCCTGGTGCCAGGAGGTTGTCCAGCCCCCAGGGCCAGGCCGACATGCATGCTGCCCCGTGTCCAGGACAAGCTCCACAGCCCTCTTGCCTGGCGGGAGAGAGGAGGTGCTGCTGTGTCCAAGCACGTGTGGATGGGGACTGCTTCCCTGAGTCTGTGTCGGCTCGTCCTCTGGGGAGTTTGTGCCCCGACCCTGCCACGAAGGGGTCTGGGGGGCCCATGTTGGTGAAGGGTCTCTGCACGGAGGGCCCGGACTCAGCCTCTGGTGGTGTCTTCCACCTGCACCTTTTGATATCCTTTGGCTTTTTATTGTAGTTTCTTAGCCTGAAGACTGGAATTTTTTTTCTTTTGAGACAGAGTCTCACTCTGTCGCCCAGGCTGGAGTGCAGTGGCACAATCTCAGCTCACTGCAACCTCTGCTTCCCGGGTTCAAGCAATTCTCTTGCCTCAGCTTCCCTAGTATCTGGGACTACAGGCAAGTGCCACCACGTCCAGCTAATTTTTTTTTTTTTTTTTTTTTTTGTATTTTTAGTAGAGACCGGGATTCACCATGTTGGCCAGGCTGGTCTCGAACTCCTGACCTTGTGATCCACCCACCTCAGCCTCCCAAAGTGCTAGGATTATAGGCTTGAGCCACAGTGCCCGGCCTGAAGACTGGAAATTAACTAGAGGGAAGCTTCTGGAGGCTGAGTGGTGATGCCTGCGGAGTCCCGGGGGCTGGGAGGAGGCTGCAGGGCCAGGGGCACTGCTCAGCAGTTGGGAGGTACCCCGCCAAGGGGGTTCAGTCCTGGCCATTTCTGTCTTTCAGTCTCAATTAAAAACAGTTCCAAATGAACCACGGCTCAGTGGTAAAACGCCTTCTGGACGTTCCCCTCAGATTGGAACTCCATTTGTTAAATTGCTCACAGTGAGATTTTCATTCTGGCTGGATTTCCCCAAATATCTTGCCGTGACCCAGTTTTCTTTTTCTTTGGAGGTTGTTCCACCCTCCCTGCTTTCTGCTGAGATGGCTGCTGTTGGAGCGGGCCGCCCTCGGCCGACACACAGAGGCATCCGTGACCGCCGTGCCTCTGCTGCCACCCATCCCGCTGCACCCCGGAGTCCCTACACCCCCAGCCACAGGCAGGGTCACCCGCCCCCATGCACACTTCCTTATTCCTGCCCACCCCCAGCCCAGGTGGCAGCCCCTCAGGGAAGGAAAGAGAAACTTCCTTCCCCAGAAGCCTCGCAGACCCCGGGGTGGGGCTTCTCAGAACGACACAGAGGGGCCCCGGGGCCGGGCTGCGCTTTCTGACGGACCACAGGCTGCTCCTGTCTGGTCAGTCCTGGTGCAGGTCGCTGGGCCGTGGAGCCTGCCTCTGGGGGCTCAGTTCCAGAGCAGGGCCGCAGGGATAGTGCCGTCCCGTTGCCGGTGGTACTTCTGTGTGGGAACAGACTTGCACAGCACACTGGCCGAGGGACAGATTGAGGGGGGCTTAGCCCTCAAAGAACTTCCGGTATTGCCTGAGAGCCAAGGCATTTGCTGTGGTTTGAACGTGTTCCCTCCAAAATCCAGGAGTTGCCCAAGTGAGAGTATCAACAGGTGACTAGGCTGAGGGCTCCTTCCTCGCTCCTACGATTAAGAGCCTTGTAAAAGGACTGGGCGCGGTGGCTCACACCTGTAATCCCAGCACTTTGGGAGGCTGAGGTGGGTGGATCACAAGGTCAGGAGATCGAGACCATCCTGGCTAACACAGTGAAACCCCGTCTCTACTAAAAATACAAAAAATGAGCTGGGCGTGGTG